TCAAACATACAGAATTTCCCCAAAGTCCCTTGGTACTGGCTACTTCGGATTAAAACATCCTTTTCAGCTTGATGGGTAAGGAATAATATTTTAATTATGAGTAACTTTGAGCATCTTTTGTGTCTTCTGATGCATGCGTCTCATTTCACCTTTTCTGTTCATATCCTTTGTTCACATTTCTTATGGGCTTACTGATTTATAGAAAATTCTTAAACATTTTTCATATATTGTTGATATTAGTCTTTTCTCTTGTACATGTTATCTTCTGCATTTCTACCTTTCTGTTCCTGGTTTTGCCATTGATTGGTTTTGTGATTTGGGAGGCATGATTTAATTTCCATAACACCATTTTTAACTACTGTTAAGTGTGAATACATTATCTCTGGTTAGTGTGAAATGCTAGTGAAGGGGTGTTGAAGCCCTTTGGGTTCCTTATTTTGATTTCCACCAGCTATTTTTTTTTTATCCGCATATGAGAATTTGGCACTTTTAAGGGTATTGAGGAATACCAGCAAAAGAGCATGTGACAGTGCTTTGGAGCTTTGCCTGAGAGGTGGACATCACTTTAGTTTTACTGTGACTTAACCCTAGGAACTGACTTTTGTGACCATGGATCAGATTCTGAGCTATAGGTGTCACAGCACAGCACTTGTTTATTTTGCACTCTCTTGGTAGAGGAAAGAAGTGCATAAAACAAGGTATGCGCATGCTGACCTGTGTCCTAGATGGCTTTATGGGATGGAGGTACCATGTAAGGAAAAGCCTTCTTCTTCTCCAGCTGTGCCACTTGCTCCAAAATGACATGGTAGAATCTGTTCATTTATGGGACTAGATACTTGCAAGATTGGAATTAGCAGCCTTTGTGTCCTCGCCCAGTTCTCAGAACAAAGGATTCAGAGGAAACATTGGGGGACATATAGCAGTGTGTGTGTGTGCCTGTGTATATATAAGATTCAGTTCTGATTGTCTAGACTGCCCTCAACAATGAGCAGAAACGTGATAAAGCTCTACAGATTGGGACTACTTAGACTCAGACTCCACCCTTAGACCCAAACTACCTCTTAGCCTCTGCCCTGTGTCTTCCAAGTTCCTTCCTTTCACCATTCCTGTCCCCTTACAGACTGCTTTCCAAGAACTCTGACAGAATGTCTTGAGCCCACTACCAGGGCCTATAGAGCCTGTCTGTATGAAGATGGATCAAGCCAATGAATTCTACCCATGTTATGTATTTAGCCCTAGGTCGCAGGTGTGGCCATAGAGACTGAGAAGGTGTTTGCAGAGCTTGCATACTCAATTGAACACCTATGCATAAGGCTCCCAAGAGTGTAGATGTGGAGAATACAGGGGTTGTGGGTGGGGTGAACTTGCACCAGGATCTTCCTTTTGTAGTTTTGCACCAGTTCTAAAACTTGTCAGAGACAGATCTGCCCTAAAGAAACATTCTCTTTTCATTCTTGGTGATGGTGGTATTAGGAAGGCTTTTCTTCATACTTGTTTTGAGGGTAAACATAGCAGGCTCAATATAAAGCCCGATTAATGTTTGAGGATAAGTGAGTTGGCTGGAGAGAGAGGTAGACTGTATGATTTCCTGAAGGGAGACTCTCCTGGTGCTGCTCTGGGTCTCCCCTGGGTAGGTGATGCTTTTGATGTTTTGTGAACAGGAGGAAATATTCTGCTGATGAAATGCATCTTTAGGAAAAGGCATAGGGTTTCCTCATCTCTTTATATTAGCAAGGCACAGCTGCCTGCAAAAAGTCTGTTTGCTGCTTAGGGATTCCTCCTTCATTCTTTGTTTCTGAAGGCTTTTAAGACATAGTTTAGTGCATTCCTTTCTGTTTTTTACAGCCAGGGGGAAAGTCATAATCCATCAGGGCTCTTGCTGAATAGCTTATAATGGGTGCTGACAGCTGAGGGGTGCATGTGTCTTTGTCTATGTTGGGGAGGGGGAGAGCTTTCCAGGGACAAGTGACCTGCTTGTTCAGCCAATAAGAGTAGATTAGAGGAATGATATCACCAGACAGGCTCTTTTGTCTGATCATCTTGTAAAAAGCAGGATTGTGTCTGGTAACTTAACCCTTTTTTTAAAGTTTCACCCTCCCTGGTGTGTGACCTCTAGATTCCTGTTCCCAACTGTCAGGTGTGAGACCACAGAGATTAAAGACTGGAGAAACTGGGAGAATTATAAGCCACCACTTAAAAAATAGAAATGACTAAACTTTAGAACCACAGCTAGAATGGAAATGTGATCTCAGTTGTGTTCAGAGAGGACATATGGTCGTATGATACTTTCTACTTGTAGTCTTAGGAAGGGAGGAAGGTTAGTGGGAGAAGACAGATTTTAGTATATTTTAATTTATGGAATGGAGTCGGTGGTAGTTTGAATGTAATTGGCCTCCACAGTTCATAGGGAGTGGTACTATTAGGAGGTATGGCTTTGTTGGAGTAGGTGTGGCCTTATTGAAGGAAGTGTGTCACTGTGGAGGCAGGCTTTGAGGTTTCCTATGTGCAAGATACTGCCCAACGTTTCAGTTCTGATCAAGATATAGCCAGCACCATGTCTGCGTGCATACCGCCACACTACTAGTTGCCATGCTCTTGATGCCATGATGATAATGGACTAAGCCCCCAAAACTGTAAGCTGCCACCTCAATTAAATATTTTTCTTTATAAGAATTGCCATGGTCATGGTGTCTCTTCACAGTAATAGAAATCCTAACTAAGAGTCTTACAAAGTATTTCCTGTTTGGGAAGAATTGAATTAGCTTTGTAGATTTGGAGACTGTCCAACCTGTGATTGCTCTTCATGCTGATTTTGAGTAAGTGACTTTTGTAGTATTTGTTTATTCTTGTACTTCTTACTTGTACCTTCTCCCATAAAATGACAATCCCTGTCTTTATTCTTGTTTCCTTACTGGTAAAATAAGTGGTCCTGTCCTTGCTCATAGAATTTCTGGGATAAGGAAATAAATTAGATCTTGCTCCATGCATGAATTATAATGAGAGTGTTTCTTAAGATTTTATATCTACTTGTTCATTCAGTGGACATTTTACACCTTTGTTTGTTTTTAAGACTGCCTTATATGTCTTAAAAATTTTCAGAGAGAAAGAATATTTGTAGACATGCATGTGTGTACATGTGTGAAGGTCAGAGAACAAGTTTATGGAACCAGTTTCTCCTTCCACCTTTGTGTGGGTACCAGGAATTGAGCTCAGGTCATTGGACTTGAAACCATTGGAATGACAGTGCCTTTACCTGCTGAGCCATTATTCTGGCCCTGGCAAAGCACCACCTTCTTGATGCAGGGTGTAGGAGATACAGACATTAAAAGATAGTTTTATCCTTTAAGGAACTCAAAACATCACAAAGAAAACAGACAAAAATAATAATTAAATGCGTGTTTCATTCTTTTTATCCAGTGCTAGGTCCTCTTCTAACTATCCTGGCCTACATGAACACAATTATCTCTTTCAGATGTATGCAGTGGGCACTACTATTGCTAGCTTCATTTTATAGACAGATGTAGAGACGCAGAAGGTAGGACTACTAGAGTTGGCATTTGAAACCAGGCAGTAAGGGTATGTATTCTGTGCTGACCTCTGCAGTGGGCATAGCCACATGTAACATGAAATGTGCCTAGTCCAGGTTGAATTGGGCTGTATGAATAAGAACTAGATTTCAAAGACCTAGTTGGGGGTGAGTGGGAATCATAAGACTCTCTCCCCCTCCCTCTATGTCTCCCTCCTCTGTCCTTTTGCCCCCACCCCCAGCCCTGGTGTGTGTGTGTGTGTGTGTGTGTGTGTGTGTGTGTGTGTGTGTGTGTGTGTGTTTGTGAGTGGTAGAAGAGGTAATTTATTAAGAAAGAAAGGATTCCCAAGAGAAGAAATGGGCCAGAGCAGACAAAGGTCAGAGGCTAATAGGTAAAATCTCATATTGAAGTTATATGTTGCTGATATTTTAGACATACTTAAGTAAAATGTATAAGTGGTCTTACTTTCCTATTATAGCTACTCTGAAACTTAAGGTAACATCGAGGTTTTATGGGGGCGCACATTACATTTTTGTTGGATTGTACTACTCTAAATAATAACAAGCAGGTGTCATTTTGGAACACTTAACTATATGCTGTATACTCTGCTAATACTTCTGCAAACATTTCAATTAAGCCTCATATTACCCTTTATATTATCCCCATTTTGTAGTCAAAAGAGATGATTTTGAGAAATTCAATAATTTGTCCTAGGTTAGTCAACTAATTGGTGCCAAACAACTTCAAAACCATGTGTCCCACTCAAAACACTTCTGTTGATAACTAGCAGATGGTAATTCCATTTGAATTTAAGCCTGAGATGTTTAATTTTTGTAAGTATATATAAATGGTATACTTATGTATCTGATACATAAAGCTTCAAAGTAAAAATCAGTAGTCCATAAGACAGAACTCTCCTTTGTAGGGTCTTGAACACAGGCACAGTTGGGTCTGCGATGAGGCAGTGAAGTCATCCTGTGCAAATTGTATTTATTTAATTTTCCCTCCCTCTCACCTTTCCCCTGCTCTTTCCTCCCTCCCTCCCTCCTTCCCTCCTCCCTCCTCCCTCCCTCCCTCCCTCCTTCCTTCCTTCCTTCCTTCCTTCCTTCCTTCCTTCCTTCCTTCCTTCTGTAGCCTGACTGGCTTGGAACTCATTATGTAGATTTGGCTGGTTTCAAACTCACAGAGATCCTCCTGTCTCTTCCTCCTGAGTGCTAGGATTAAAGGGAAGTGCTGCCACACCCAGCCACAAGTGTGTTTAATTTTCATTCCAGTCTATTGCTTTAACCCTCGTCTGTGATGGAGACGGGAAGGGACAGCACAGCACACCTTCCTTAGTTGTTTGGTCCTCTTGCCTAATAAGATGATAAATTTGTTTTCTGTTTCACTGTCCTTTTTGTCCTCTGAAATACTGTTTGTGTTTGAGAAAGCAATGATATGCTGCGTAGTGACTCTTGACTTTTTTTCTCCTAGAGCAAAGATTCGGGTGGACTGAAAGCAGCTATGATAGAGTTGGTGGAAAGGTTAAAGTTCAAGAGCTCAGACCCTAAAGTAAGTATTGTTTTGGAATTAACTGGGTATTGGTACCTCAAGCATTTGTTCTCCTTGATCTGAGTACAGGGAGTGTTAATGATCATCTATCTGTACTTTCTGTTTAGATTCAATTAAGCCTCACGTCAAAAACAGTGTTCTCATATGCCTGGGGAAAAGTCATCTATTTCCCCTTGTCTATTTTATGACTTAGAACATATAATCATTAATTGTTTTTTTCTGAATTGCAGAGAAGTGCATTTTTAATCTTTCCTTACCAGACCTTTGAGACTTCTGTCCTCTGTGTCCCTTAGATCTACCCAAAGGCATCTGAGATACTCATCAGCATAATTCTGGTCCCTGGCCATTTGGTGCACAGTACTAATATGCCTTGTCAATCCCTAGCTTACAGGAGGCAGCTGCCTCTGAGCATGCCTTTGTCCTTGTTACCTAGAGTCTGGTTGAGGAAATGATCAACCAGAGCATCTCAGCTTCTTTCAAGATTTGGGGAGCTGAAGGATTGATATTCTGGGAGATGTCAAACTAGAGTGGGGATGCAAGTGGAGGTGGTGGGCTGGGAGCTGAATGTGCAGGAGGGATTGTGACTAATAGATTCCCTTCTTCTTACTGAGACACTTACTGTAGCAGCACTACCCGGTATTGGGAGTAGATGGCTCTGTTGGAAAAGAGCCTCTCATAGGTAAGGAGGGAAAGGAACATGCTTTTATTTTTATGTCTCTCCTTTTTCCTTTTTTTTTTTTCTCACAAGTTCTTTATCAAATAGGAGTACCTGAGAGCCAGGTCCTACACTAGGGATCTTACACAGTTGTGATAAAATATATAACAATTTAACCATTTAAAATGTGTATTTCAGTAGCATTAAGTTCACTTAGAGTGCTATGCAGCCATCATCACTGTCTACCTCTAGCATGTTTTCATCGTCCCAAACTAAACTCTTTCCCTTTTCAACACAGCACCTCATTCTCCCTCCCTTTCCATATTTTTGATTATTACAAACCCTTGTGAAGTGGTTCCTTATCTCAGTTTATTTTATTTTATTTTAAGGACAGTAGAGTTATTTGCTCCAAGTCTGGTATATTGTGGAGATTCGAGTCAAATGACTCTAGTGCCTTTGTGTTCAATTCTCACTGCAAACCAAGCATCGGGTCTTACCACATTTGTGCTGTGTAATCATGGTTTTTGAAGGCCGCAGTGAAGCAGAGCCATTGGCATCAATGGACTCTTTATAGGTAACTGCAGCCATCAGTAGTTTTCTTTTCATATGACACTGAAAATATTGACATTAGTAGTATCTCCTCTCTTCTTGAACAGCAGTAGTGAGCATCTAGATAGAAAAAAAAGGTTATATAACTTTAACAACTCTTCTACCTAGAATAGGAGGACTCCTGCTATTTTTCCATTGATAAAGCTGAACCAATTAAGTACTAAAGGTAACTGAAAACTAACACCGTGAGAAGTTTCTTTGGTTTTGTGTGTAACATGTATTGCAGGAAACAACTGTATTTTCTGTCTCTGCCATACCTGCATGTTTGTGACAGCAAAGCAGTAAAAGGGGATTGATGATACAGGCTTTGGCCTCCTTTATGAATGCAGACAGTGCTTCTTTGAGAAACTTGCCACAGAGGAGAAAAGTCCAGCTAAAGCGTTCCCTAATGCAGCTGGTCACAACCTGGGGGTCAATCCCTTTGCGGGGTCAAGTTAGCAAAATTACAGTTATGAAGTAGCAATGAAAATGATTTTATGGTTGGGGGTCACCACAACATGAGGAACTGTATTAAAAGGTTGCAGCATCAGGAAGGTTGAGAACCACTGCCCTAATATAAGCTAAAAGATAGCTCTAAGGGCCTGACTTGATCTTAGGTTTGGGTACACACACTGTCCACCCCTTTACCTTCAAGCCTTTTAGTCTACAGGATGAATTTGCTTGAGTGTATATGGAGCTGGCTTGAGAAGGAGTGAGTGTAAGTGTGGAGTGACTGCCAGATCAGGAAGAAGGGAGAAAAACAGGACACTTTTAATAGAAACTTTTTGTAAAAAATGTTCTCAGAAATCAGTTATCTTCCAAAAGTGCCCTTAAGTTTCTGTCTGTCCTGTTATCCTACAGTACCCTACCATCCCCTTTCTGATTGGCTTATTTAAGAAGGGCAGACTAGCTCAGGCTTTCTGACTTTTCATTTTGGGATACAGTTGCTTTACATAGAGACACTGATTGAATTGTAGGGACTGAGCACTATCTCTGCCTCACTTCCTCTAGAACCCCTAATGCATCACAAAACTTGATTGTCCAGACAGTGAAGTCCACTGCCAACTGAATTCACTCTAAAAAACTATATATAGTTATAGTAATTTATTTATATCTATATAAATAAAATTATTTATTTATTATGTATGGGACTCTGTCAGCATGTATGCCTGTGCACTCCATGCATGCTATATGTTCATGGAGGGACTGGGCTTATAGATGGTTTATGAGCTGCATATGGGTGCTGGGAATCAAACTCAGGTCTTTTGGAAGAGCACCAGTGCTCTTAATAGCTGAGCCGTCTCTCTAGCCCCTGAATTCACATTAACTGTGTGTTTTGCTAAAGAGCAATGGAAGATGCCTGTATTAACTGTTTTCTTTAATTATGAAGCAATATATCCTTGTAGATAAATACAGATATTCATAAAGAAAAGCTAGAATGAATTCCCCTCAAATTAGTTACAGCTATTGATAGTTTGGTGTATAAGCTTCTAGATATTTTTTGGATTTTAATTTTTTTTTGCAAAAATTATACTGTGCCTATGGTTTTATGTTGCCTTTTTCATTATGCAGAATATTCTAGACACTCTTTTGTGTTGACAGAATGTTAGTTATGCTGGGTGATGGTGGCGCACGCCTTTAATCCCAGCAATCAGGAGGCAGAGCCAGGTGGATCTCTGTGAGTTCGTGGCCAGCCTGGTCTACAGAATAAGATGCAGGACAGGCTCCAAAACTACACAGAGAAACCCTACCCTGTCTGAGGGGGGTAGGGAGAGAATAACGTTAGTTTCTCCTATTGATAAGATTCAGGTTCTGGTTAGCTTTAAATGTCAACTTGATATAGCCTAGTGTCATCTGGGAGGCAAGTCTCCATTAGGGAATTGCCTGGATCAAATTGACCTGTGAGCTTGTCTGTGAGGGGAGTTGTCTTGATTGGTCATTGATGCTGGAGGGCCCGGCCCACTTGGAGTACCACCTTACCTAGGCAAGTGGTCCTGTATCAGAAGGCTAGCTAAGCATGAGCCTGTGAGGGAGCCAGCAAGTAGCAGTCCTCCATGATCTCTGCTTCAAGTTCTTGCTTGAATTCCTGCCCTGACTTCCCTGATGGACTATGTTATGCAAATGGAAGCCTGTCACAGCAGTAGAAAAGGAAACTAGAACACTTCATCTTATTCAAGCATGCCAGATACTTTCTAGATCAGCTGCTCTTAAATTTTATTGTTCATAAAAATCACCCAGAGGATTTATTAAAAGATAGAGTTCTATGCCAGGCAGTGGTGGTGCACACCTTGAATCCCAGCACTTAGGAGGCAGAGGCAGGCAAATGGCTAATAGTTCCTGGCCAGCCTGGTCTATAGAGTGAGTTTCAGGACAGCCAGAGCTACACAGAGAAACCCTGTCTCTTAAAAAAAACCAAAAAAACAAAGAAAGTAAATAAATAAATTTTTTCATTTATAACTATATATTTACATACATACATACATATGTATATGTATATATGTACTTAAGAGAGACAGAGAGTGTGTTCTGGGCCCACCCCCAGAGTTTTGATTCAGTTGATGTGGGCTGACAGAGTCCCAGACTGTGAGAACCACTGTGCTAAACTGAGCTACTTTCCTTGCTTTTTGTTTGTTTGTTTTGTTTTTCTGCTTTCTTCAAATAGAGCACCTAAAAATAAGACTAAGCGATTTTCAAATTTGAAAAAGAAATTGAAATATATAAAAATCTAGGCTTAGGAAACAAATGAATTGAACAGAAGTAACAAAGAAATGGGAACAGAAAAGAGAGACAGAAGGAAAGTCAGTGAGGTCTGTGAAAGAGGCAGGGTGATTTCATCATCTCCTTTCTAACAGAAAAATAGCCAGGTCAGGAAGAAGGAAAGGACTCAAGAAGGAGTGTGAAGAGAGGTGTTGAGTCAAGACAGGAGGTCATTAAAGACTGTGCTGTGCTTCTCTAATAGGCTGAGTTCTAAACCTATAGGAACCATGGGAAACATCAAATCCCAGCCACTAGACCTTGAGAACAGGGATCAGAGCCAGTGATGGCTAAGAAATTATTCAAGACTGGAAGAAGCTATGCATGTGTGTGTTGCTTTGGTGGGCCTTGTTTTAAAGGTTACATGCTTCCAGGTAGCTAGCATCTCCTATATTGTGGATAAAGATGACTTTTAATAACAACCTTTACTTTGTATAAAAATGATTATCAAGAAACTCTTTTAAATAATAAACTGGCCAAATAAGTTTGATATTCAAATTGCAAAAATTTCTTTTCAAGCTAATTTTCATAAACATGTTACACAAAGCATGGTTTGTTTGTTTTTTGTTTTGTTTATTTGCATGTAGATTTCTTATATTTCTGCTCAGCTTTAGTGAAATAAAAGATATCTCTCTGAGAGTGATGCCTTAGGCCTGTTATCTCAGTACTTAAGAGGCTGAAGCAGGACCATCATTGAGTTCTAGTGGGTTACACAGTGAGACTCTGTTTCAAATGCAGAATAAAATAAAGCAAAGAAAAAGATGTAGTCATTTAGGTGCATGTCTGTGGCAGGATGTGGAAGCCCTGGACTTGTAGGACAGTAAAAACTGAGTTCTTTATGTTAACAGCTTTCTTGAGTGACTGTTTGTGGTTTATCTGTGAAAGACTGAATCAAAAGCACAACATACTAATCTTTATCAAACTAACTTTTTATGCCATTAGTAACAGGTACTTTCTCTATTTTCTATTGATTACTTTCTTCCCCTCAGATTATGCTTTTCATTGTTTTCTTTAACTAGTATACTTAAAGCAAACATTTAAAAACAGTGTGGTTCTCTAATTCATAATAATCTTTTTTTAATTTTTAAAATTTATTTTTATGTGTGTTTTGCCTGTGTGTATGTCTGTTTACCACTTGTGTACCTGGTACCCACAGAGACCAGAAGAGGGTGTCAGTCCCCTGGGACTGGAGTTATGGGTGGTTGTGAACCACCTGGTAGGTGCTGGGAATTGAACCTACATCCTCTGGAAGAGCAGCCAGTGCCTTTAGCATCTGAGCCTTCTCTCCAGCCCTCATCCTAATTTCTCCAAGTAGTTTCAAAGATGGAAACACCTTGAAACTCTATCAGAGTAGTTTATGTTCTACTGTCTTGACTGACGTGGAAGCAGATGTAGGACCCAGTCCTAGCAGGTCTAAGGCATAGCCAATTCTTCCTTTTTATTTGTTTGTTTGTTTGTTTGTTTGTTTGTTTATTGTTGCAAGCCTCTAAAGATACTCTACTAAATAATGAAGCCAAAAGCTGTCTAGAAACATGAAATTTGTTAGATAGATCTAAGGATGGCTTTCTTGTATTTTGTAATTACAAGAACTTTGTGGTCATTTTTTTCATAACCAGTATCATTGTTATGGAATACAACCTACTCTGCCCTTCTGTGCTAATTAGAATGTCAGAATTATAGGTTTTGCATTTAAAAATCATAATCGTTAATCAAAACCTAATTTGAATTCTTGTTAATATTCTGTTACTCTTAAGAGTTAAGCCATACTTCATTCTGTTGCTTGTCTTCACCAAAACAGAAACACTTATTGGTTAAGACTTGAGATAGTTCAGCTATCAAATAGTGCATATGAACATGCTCCTTTGACTGAAGAGTTCTGAAAATTAGTGACCTATTTCTGTACTTTTTATTTAAAAAGCTATAAGTAGGAATCTTGGAGGATATAAGTCATGTTTATTTTGTTTTCATAACCTCAACACTTACTAGCATGGATCTTGACACACAGTAATTGATGTATATAACTTATTACAACACCCATGAAATAAAGAATTTGTCCCATTTTATCAATGAGTAGTTGGAGACTTCAAGGAGTTAAGTAGCTTGATAGTAAATGATAGGCCAGAACTTAACTTTTTATTAAGACAGGTTCTCTCTATGTAACCCTGGCTGTCCTGGAACTCAGCTATGTAGACCAGGGTGGCTTGAAACTCACAAAGATCCCCCTGCCTCTGTCTCCCAAGTGCTGGGACTAATGGCATGTGCCACAAAGCCTGGCTAAGGACTTAACTTTTGGTTTGTCTTATTCCATGTTCTTGACCCCGGAACTGGGTTGAATCTGTAAACAAGCAGATAGAGGCTACAGATGCTTGTGGACTGTCACCCCTTTCGGTAGAACCCTTCTCATTATTTTTACCTCACATCTTCTTTTGCCTTATTAGGATCCTTCAGCCACAGTTACCACAGTCCCAGAGCACTAGAATTGGTAGATGGCCTTTTCTAAAAGACAGTGTGCAAAGACAAGAAAGATCCATAACATCCAGAGCTCCAACTTGACTTGATTGGTTGAGGACAGCAGTTGGGAAAAACACTCCTTCTTTCTCAGGCCAGCTCTAGCTTCTGGTGTAGGAGCCACTCAGAAACAGTTGTGGCCCCTTTCATCTCTGTAGACATTGAGAGCACAAAGGGGAAAATGAATCTCTTACTTTTTTCTTACACCCTTCCCTTTATCCATGTGAAAAGAGATCTTTTCTTCTTACCTTCTCCTCTATTGTAAAAGTAATATGAGTTCTCTGTAGGCATTTCGAAAAATACGGAAAAGTACAAAGAATAAAGAAAAAAAATCACTTATTCTTCCATTGCCCATAGTAGGTTATAAAGTTGGGGGTTTTATTAATGCTGGTTCTTGAATCTTAGCTATTTCACATAATTCAAGGGTAGTTCTGAAATCCAAGGTATAGGGTCAGTGACATTAAATGAGAGATGCTAAAACTTAGGATACTATTGTGCTTTGCCTTTTAAGTGCGCGCGTGCGTGCGTGCGTGCGTGCGTGCGTGTGATGAGTATGTATGCATGTACGAACACATATACACTATATATGTAGTTTTGTTTTCTGACTTTTACAGCTAACAGCCTTTATAAATGCATACATTTTTATCATTTGAATAAACTTTGATCCTTGAATCTATTATGGGGTAGTAGAATCATGAAAGCCAATTTGCCTTTACTGTTGAATAAAAGTTTTAGTTAATAAGGCCTTAGGTTTTTGGTGGCAGGAACAGATTCTTTGCAGTGTGTGGTGGTATTGTGTTCCGCAAAATATTGTGCACCCTAATAAACTTATCT